GCATGGACTTGAAGATTAGATTTTGAGCTTAGAAAGTTATGATAGAGTTGTTAGGAATATTTATTACATAGTTTTTCAGTTGATTTTGCATTGTAAGGACAAATGTTTTCCGCTGCTTTTATGAATAAAATAAATTTTGGTTTGACTCATTTATTTATTTCCTTGCAATGAAATCGTTATGAAAATTGATGTTTGCATATTTCTACAACGAATGGATGTGATTCTTAATTATGATTGTGGAAATGTCGAGAATTTACCAAATAGGGAGAGTTTCTCATCGCCCAAGTTTCAGTTGGACAGAAACTTGGAATCATGCAACTTGGTTGCATGATGAATGAGAAATTTCATATTTGGAAATTAAACTAATTCGTGTCAAGTGAAGGATTAGGAGATCGAGTACACAAAGTTGTGTGTTGATCAAGTCCACCGCAAGAGTAACACAGATATTCGTCATGATTTACTAAAGGTTTAGTAAATATGATTATACTTATAAGATTAAGTGTAATTCTGAATTGATTGAAAAGGTTTGAATCAATAGCAGAACGAATAAGAAGAATCAAGTAGGCAGAAAGATAAAAGTTTCTCTATTCTAAGAAGAAGGGAGAGTACCTTTTATTATGCTTTATGATAAGTCTTAATGATTAAGAACCATATATCAATTGATCCTCTAAGTGAGTCTTAGTGAAATTGTATGTATAAGAAGAGGAATCAAGAATTGAAGAAATGATTAAATCAAGAAGTCAATCATACTTCGTTCCAAAACAAGTCTTAAAGTTAAGATTGTGACATTGAGTGACAAGTCTTAAGAAGGTTTATAACATTCATCAAATGTAGAATATGGAAAAAGTTTTATTATTCGTGCACATTTGAAATTGAAAAGTTGTGATGTCTTGGATAAGACAAAGATCAACTAGGACCAATTTTGTGAAGTGTTTTGTCTTGATAAAACCTACACTAACTCTTGAATATTTGTTTGTCAAGAAATGTTTATTGACAAGAGAATCTTATATGTCAAGGAGTCAGTGGGAGTCTTAATGGTCTTGAAAGGTTTCAAGAACAAATCAAAATAAACCTTATCAAACATCACTAGAACACGACTTGAGGTTTACAACCTATCGTGTTGACATTATCTTGTTTCTGCGCCGTTCCAATCGAGTTAGTTATGCATGTGAATTCTATGAGTTATCATTTGAGTGCATAAAAGTCAAGGACCTTAATCAATGAAAAGTACATTGATGGGAAAGGGTGAGCTGCTTAACTACTTGGAAGACATGGTGGGCAGTCGTGTTACCATAAGGCAAGAGATCAAGATTGGAAAAGTTCAGTCCATAAGAGTTTGGATTTGTCGCAAACTTTGGTTTTGACAAACTCACATGGATAGAAACACATACACCGTTAAAATCTAAGTGTCATAAGATTTCCTCCTCCATGAAGATGGATGTGAGTAAATGCTTTCACTAAGAGAGATTTTAAGAAGATAGCGATTGTAAAATTGTATTCTCAAATTGATTATGGTTACGGTATCCCTTTCCATGATTCGAATTGTGAGATTTGGCAATTAGTCTGAATTGTTTAGACACACATATGAAATATCTAAGGCAAAGGTGTATAAGTTTAAGAAGCCTTGATAAAAGATTATCAAAGCATTGGGTATTAGAAACATGAACTTAAGAAATTCAATAAGTATTGTTTTCTAGAAGTTAAGCTGGTTTCTAAATACATGTTAAAGCTAGTGAGAGCATAAGTGTTATGTTTATAATAATCATCATGATAGTGGGAGCATAAATGTTATGATTGTATGATTATTAAGGCAAGTATTGCAAGTTAGCAATATTAATTATAGAAAACAAGAGTCATACTTTGCAAAGTAGTAAGGATGTAAAGTTGTTTTGCTATAATTAAGGGAGAGAATATTATGCTTCGGTTCAAATCTAAAGGTTTAGGTTGTGGAATGTTAATAATTTTAGTCAAGATACATGGTGTGTTCTTAAATTTCGATTATGATTGCGGTATCCCTCTTCATAGTTCGAATGGTAAGAACGAGACACATAAAATATTATGGCAAAGTATCATATCTTTATGTAAGACATTATGCATCATGTCCTATACGCTTCGGGTATAGGATTGATTGATAGGGCCATAATATTCGACCATTCTAAAATTTTTCCAAATGTCTAACGCATTTAGAGGGAAAAAGGACTAGAATTGGTTTTGACTAAGATAATTAAACAACTATCAAAAGACGATCCAAAGCTTGCTGAGGATTAGTCGCTTGTGAGTAGTTAGAAGTATGATATTGGATGGAGCATATCGACATAATTATAAATATATAAGATTCTATTAAAATTGAGTTGTGATATGGTAAGTATGGAAAGGTTTCCATATTAGGAGTTAGATATTGAGAATCTATGTCTAGATTAGAAACTTTTATGCAAAATGATGTTCAAAGGAATGTACCTTGAGTGAGAGACATCACATAAGGAGTGTTTAAGGAAGCGGCCTATAAAATGATCACCATTGGGTATCCACTCTTACCTACCGTACTCTTGATTAGTGGAAGATCGTTAGCCGAACGGATAGGATAAGGAAAATAATTGCTCATTAATAAGTATAATGATCTATAAAGTAACTAAATGTTTTTATAAATTCTCAATCTTAGTTACTTTAGGAAAAATGTGAAAAATGATGTTATTCCATGAAATTACACTTTGCACCTTGCCAAGTCGTTATTGGAGCGTGCATGGATAACCGACACACTAATTTAGGACTAGCAATGGTGGAAAAGGGTGACTAAAAGAAAATGTCGATAGAGAAGAAATGGTGAGCTGAATAACATCCGATTACCACCGTCCTCTACCTGAATTTGCACTACCGTTGTTAGCAATCCCGTCGGACCACCATAATGGCCAGCAGCGCTAACGAATGTCGTTCTTTTTTTCCTATCTGCTTATCAATGCATGAGGGAATTGGAGAGGGTTTCTCTCCCATGGATGCATCGCCATCATCGACGGTGAATAACAACACCGACCGTCGGCGGTGGAGGTAGGAGAGTCGATTTGAGAGAGGATAAAGTGAGGGGTCGAGGAAGTGTTGATGGGTGACGGGGATTGACGCGTTGAGAGAGGTTTAGAGGAGCGATTTTGAGAGAGGATAAAGTAAGCGGTCGAGGAAACATCGATGGGTGACGGAGATTGACGCTTTGAGAGAGGTTTAGAGGATCGATAGTGATCCTTCAGTCAAGTAAGGCGGTGGACGTAAGGATTAAAGCTGGTGGTGATGAATGATCGCCTGTAGGGTGATGGCGGTGAGAGTCTTTTCAGGTTTAACTGAGATGAAGAATCGAGAAGTGATGAAATTAAGAAGAAAACTGAGACGGTGATCAGGAATTAACCAAAGTCGGTGAACTAATTAACCCAATGAACAGTACCCTTGTCAGGTAGTGTTCCTAAAGATTGTCATTGTTTAATATTTCTAAAGGTTGTCTTTGTTTAATATATATATATATATATATATATATATATATATATATATATATATATATATATATATATATATATATATATATATATTAATTGCATATAAAATCAAATATTTTGCCTTTTAAAAAGTTGGATTTCTGATTTGTTTTTGTTACACTTAATAAAAAGATATAGTTGTTTGATTCATGCTAGAAACAGAAATTATGATATATTTTGAAGACATCTCAAACATAGATTGCTGCACATTTTGGAGTCTTCAATATCAGGATGACGTGGAATTTAGGTTGCCACTGAGACATGTAATTGTACCATGAATAGTCAACTTAAGAATGACATGTCACCCACAAAGCACGTGCCAAGCGACAAGAAACACAAGCACAAACATAAGGCCACACGCTGGAAGTGCATAAATTTGGAGGCTTGCCAAAGTCAACCACCACAACATTCGAGAAATGAACCCACACCAATTTAGGCAAATCCCACTTGAAGGTGATGTAAGTAAAAGTTTTTGCATGATCCGTGCAACATACATAAATTCTCTTTAAATCCAACATGACATAACAAGAGAATTAAATCGAATTCTTTTTAATTTTTATCACATGATCCATGCTTTTATTCCAAATTCTTTTTATTTTCATGCATTAAAATGTATACAATACAATTATCAATGCGTATCAATGACATATTTGATGTGGTTCTGATATAGTGTTTACCAACTTAATTGTATTCTTATAATGTATTTTTGCAAATTGTAATACTTTTGTGAAATTATTTATTATCGTTGGGACTTGGGATATATGAACTGCTGAAAATTTGCATCTCAACCTACCAAACCAATTAAACCACGATATAACACATGCAAATAAAATGTTGTTATATATATATATATATATATATATATATATATATATATATATATATATATATATATATATATATATATATATATATATATATATATATATATTTATAAACTAGGAATAGTACATGCAAATAAAAATGGTGAATTCTAATATCTAAGCGTTTCCAAAACACTAAACAATATTATAGGAATGTCAGAATTTGAGCATTAGAGACGACCATTAGTGAAAATTTGCACCTCAACCTATACCAAACCAAACCACAATATAACACATGCAAATTAATACTATGTTACTTAACTTGTAATATATATATATATATATATATATATATATATATATATATATATATATATATATATATATATATATATATATATAACCACTGCATGCATGCAGGTTAATTAAATACAAATTCAAGATTCTCTTAACCTGGTGGTCAACTTATCTTTTTATGACACATACAAGCATGAAAAGATATACATACATATATGCATACATACATACCTACATACATATATTTCCAACATTAAATTAAAATGGTGCATTTCCAAATTTGCCCTTCTCACACTCACTCACACTCAGTCTAATTGACTAATTCTCTAACTACATCCGACCAAGTCTATAAATAGCAACATCTCTCTTTATTCTTCAAGTAAATCAGCTAGAGAAAGAAAATCTAAAGATAGAGTGAATGAAGATAATCAAAGGGCTTGCGATATTGGTGTTTGTAGGGTACCTTTTCCTATGGGTGATGACACCAACCTATGTCTTCAAGCAAAAGTGGCTCGTTAGGGTTCGAGCCCACACCACTTCTACTTACTTTGGAACTCAAGGTTTGTTCCATCTCTCTAACCACCATATTTTTCTTTTGTACGATACACACTGGCGGAGTTACTTGGGGCAGTGGGGTGATGTAGCATCCCAAAAAAAGTTCTTTTGTGACTTTGTGTATTAATTTTTTATATTTGAACGTATAGTAAGATCTTGTATTCTCGATTCTTATTGTTAGTTGTACAACATATTTGATTCAATTTGTTTTGTAATCTTTACATGTATATACTTTCAGGTCCAACGATGTTGCTCTATTCATTCCCTGTTTTGTTCATGGCTGTCATGGGCAGTGTGTATCTGCATTTAAGGAAAAAATCGAACCAAAACCGCAATGAAGGGTATATTAGTTATTTCACTTGAGTAGTTCTAAAAGTGTTATTACTCCAAATAAATGATTTTATTTTTCTCCAAGTTTCAGACAAAAAGAAGCTACCAATGGTAACTTAACTATATGGAGAAGGCCCATGATCGTTAAAAGTCTGGGAATCGTCTCAAAAATCGAGCTTGCTTTCTTTATAATGTTTATCGCTCTTCTTGTCTGGTCTTTCACGACGTACTTACATGTCAGTTTTGCCAAAATTACCCCTCAATCAGCTGCAAAAAAAGGAGAAAAAGTGTACGTGAATCGATATCTTACTTTTTACCTTTTCCTGTTCCTCGAGTCTAGTCAGATCAATCGCGTAAAATTTGATTTTATGTCTTGTTGTTTTGGATGATAGTTGGGAATCAAAATTGGATTCAGTGGCCCTAAGGTTGGGACTAATTGGTAATATATGTCTAGCATTCTTGTTTTTCCCTGTGACTCGAGGCTCATCTATCCTGCCATTGTTTGGTCTCACTTCCGAAGCGAGTGTCAAGTATCACATATGGCTCGGGCATATCATGATGACTCTCTTCTCTTCTCATGGCGTTTGTTACATCATTTATTGGATTGCAACCAACCAAACATCAGAGGTATATATTATTTGATTCATGGTACCTTTCACTTAAAATAGTTAGGTGTTTTAAGTCCATTTGATTACTTAAAAATGAACATTTTTTAAAAATTATATAAAAATATCAAATGTTGAACAGTGGTGAGTGGGGGGTGGGGGGTCCAACTTTGAGAACTTTTTTACAAGTGTATGGCTTAGAAGTCCTGAAAGTATTCCACCAGTTAATTTGGAAGTACATATCATGATATGAAGTGCGCTATGGATGCGTGAAATCTTTTTCCTAAAAAAGAGTCAACTTTTGTGTGGTCAAAAATTATTGACCAAGTGGTCTTTTTTGTCGATTTGAACTCTACAAAGAAAGTGATTGTTGAATTCAAAGTACTTTTAACATCAAGCATATAATGTTAATTTTAGTTTTAAACCTATTATTTATGATTGTGTGATAGTATATACAAAATTACAAATACAAAGTGCGTATACATATTATAATAACATTAGTAACAACATGATTTAATGGAACTATTTTAGATGCCATAGTTTTTTTTCCCTTGGCATGAAGTAGGATAATTATACCTCGATGTGGTTAGTAGAAGTATTTATTTATTTATTTTTTATTATTTTTTTTTATCTTTTTTAATTTTTTATGACATTTTATATTATAATGTTGGATTTAGATGTTGAAATGGGCAAAAACCGATATATCAAATGTAGCGGGAGAGTTGTCTCTGTTATCAGGATTGGTCATGTGGGCAACAACTTTTCCACAAATTAGACGAAAGATGTTCGAGGTTTTCTTCTATACTCATCACCTGTACATCCTTTTCATTGTCTTCTTTGTGTTCCATGTTGGCATAGGTTACACATCCATCATGCTTCCTGGATTCTACCTCTTCTTGATTGATCGGTTCCTAAGATTTCTACAATCAAAGGAAAACGTTCGTTTGATTTCTACCCGTGTTCTTTTATCTGAAACTCTCGAGCTTAACTTCTCCAAGAGCCAAGGTAACATCAATCACAATAGAATATAATAAATATATAAGTATTTATGAATATTTATGTGATAACGATTTCATTGATTTAATAGACTTGAGTTATACACCTACGAGTATCATGTTCATCAATGTTCCAAATATTTCAAAGACTCAATGGCATCCATTCACAATTACCTCAAGTAGCAATCTGGAACCTGAGAAGCTAAGTGTTATGATCAAAGGTGAAGGTAGTTGGTCTAAGAAGCTTTATCAAATATTATCATCTCCAAACCCTGTTGATCGGCTTGATGTTTGCGTTGAAGGACCTTATGGACCTATCTCGACTAATTTCCTAAGGTAAAAAATGTCATGAAATTATTTTGTGCAAGGTTTAATCTCTCTCTCTGTGTGTGTGTGTGTGTGTATATATATATATATATATATATATATATATATATATATATATATATATATATATATATATATATAGAGAGAGAGAGAGAGAGAGAGAGAGAAAGAGTATGCTTGTTTTTTTATTTCATCAAGTCTAATTAGGTAAATAAATTTTAGAAAATGCCGACTCGTGTGGAGATATGTAATGGAAAAAAATATAAAAGACCAAATTTGTACAAAGTTTGGAGTTATTGGAAAAACCTATTTTCCACAGTTTTTCTATTAAATAGCTATTTATAAGAAAAAAACTAAAAAACGATTATACAAATAATTTTATTAGATTACATCTTGTCCCATAAGTCCATTAAGTGAAAAAAATGCATCTTAGTGAAGCTATGGTTGCAGGCACGATATCTTAGTGATGGTGAGCGGAGGAAGTGGGATCACACCGTTTATTTCAATATTTAGGGAGCTTGTTTTCACAGTTGAAACCTCAAAATGTAAGACACCAAAGATACTCATGATAAGTGTCTTTAAAGACTCTTCCGATCTCACAATGTTAGAATTGCTCTTACCGGCATTTGGTGCTCCTATGGATTTTTCAAAACTAGAACTACAAATTGAGGCCTATGTGACAAGAGAGAAGCAACCAACGATTGATGACAAGAAACAAGTTCGAACCATTTGGCTCAAACCAAATTCTTCAGATGGGCCCATAACACCTATTTTAGGACAAAATGGTTGGTTATGGCTTGGTGCAATTATTTCTTGTTCTTTTGTTGTTTTCCTTTTATCTATCGGGCTTTTAACACGATTCTACATCTACCCTATTGATAAAAACACAAACAAAGTGTACCCTTATGGTTCGAAGGGGGTGATGAATATATTGCTCATTTGTGTGTCTATAATGGTAGCATGTAGTTTGGGTTTTTGGTGGAACAAGAAAAAAAATGCAATAGACTCGAAGCAAATTCAAAACATGGAGGAAGCAACACCCGTTGGCTCACCTAATTCTTTGTTTTATAACGCGGAAAGAGAGCTTGAAAGCCTACCCCAACAATCACTCATTCAATCTATAAATGCACATTACGGTGAAAGACCGAATCTTAAGAGTAAGTTCGTTTTAAACCTTTCCACAACATTCAAATTAATATTATATACTCTTATCGGTCCTCCTAAATTTTATCCTAAAGGAAAATTAAGATAATCATATGGTGTGTGTATATATATATATATATATATATATATATATATATATATATATATATATATATATATATATATATATTAAGGTTTACCATGTGATTTCCAAAACTCATACATATCTATTTTGATCCTTTTTAATTTGAAATTCCAAAATTTGGAAACTAATACTTGTGTTTATTTTAGGAATGTTGTTTGAGCGAAAGGAATCAAGTGTTGGAGTTCTTGTTTGTAGACCAAAAAACATGAGGCATGAGGTTGCAAACATATGCTCATCAGGGTTGGCTTCAAACTTACATTTTGAATCCATAAGCTTTAATTGGTGATAAAACTTTTTCAAGGCATACTTAAAACAGATTGAAATAATATATATATATTTTTTCTTCTTTTGTGATGATGGATACCCTTGCTTTAAGGGTTCTAAAGGTCAAGATTGATAAGGTTAGAAAATGGAAATGTGTGTCTATATATGAATAGGAAACAATGATTAAATCTTTCCATTTGATTGTAAAATTGAAGTACATTTAAAAAAAGATTTATCTACCACAACAATGTGATGATTATGGTACTTTTTATATTTATATTTACTTTTATGTTTGAGAAAGAATGTAAGGCATGTGTGTAAACTTGTATTTCTATCTTGTTTTCTCTATGATAAATTACTATATAAAATTTATAATACTTAGTTTTCTATCACTAGATGATGTGTAACATATTAACACACACACACACACTCTCTATCTCTCTCTCTCTCTCTCTCTCTCTCTCTCTCTCTTTCTATATATATATATATATATATATATATATATATATATATATATCCTGAGATAGAAGCATGATGAGGATATACAATGAGTTGTTAAGCCATAGATAAGCTAGACCCTCGCTATGATACTGTAATACTTGTGTCATGGTATGTGCCTTATGACCCTTGAGTATTCAACCATTTCATTTTGATCCCTTAAGTAGTACGTGGAGTGTACCACTTGGTACGCTTAGCATACTGGTTGAGAAGCCAGTACGCGGGGCGTACCACTTGGTACGTTTAACGTACTGGGTTGGTGGCGAGATGGGACTTAGGTCGCGTACATTGGGCATATACATACGTATGCTGTAAGTGGGGGTGTTGCACCCTATTTAAGGATCCTTAACTTCTGGGACTGGCCCCTTTACCAGCACCCAAAGCCTCCAAAACCTTAAAACGAGTTGTAGCCTCCGTTGTCATGCATTTGAGTCTTTGAAGAGAGCTTGGTGTTTATTTTGTTCATTGTGATGGATTTAGAAGATCTTGAAGTTGCTAAGCTTGGAGAAGGAAGTCTTGCATCCATAACCAGTACTCATTTTGCAAGAAGTTTGAGGTATCATGTTCTTATCTTGGTTGCTAGATGCTTAGATCTCTTTTTGGGTTAAATAGTTATGTTTTTAGCCATGGTTTGGATGGATGTTGGGATTTGGACGTCCCAAAGGCTTATTCTTTCAGATCTAATGTCTTCGTGGGCTCCTTAGGAATAAAGGTTCCAACTTTATGGAGTTTAGGGGCCTCATGCATTCATTAAGTCCTTAATTAAGTCCTTTTTGAGTTTTAGAGCTTCTTATGATCATGCATGGATGTAAAGTTAGCAACTTCACATGATATTTCAGCTTAAGGGGGTTAGATTTGCACTCTGGGGTAAAGTCTTAACGAGTTAAGTGCTTAAAGTAGAAGGTGGTTGATTTGGTTGAGTATGTTGGGCATATAAGCCTGTACGCACTATGTACAAGCCCTCGAGACAGTACGCTTAGCGTACAAGCTGAATACGCCCTGCATACTCAGTTAGGTGGCCATTCGATGTTGGGCTTTAGGCTTGGGCCTCGTTTTGGGCTTAGAAGGATATGGTTTAGTTGGACCATTTGATTTTGGGAATTTTTGGGCTAGGAATATTATTGGGCCTTGGGCTAAGGCCTATGTGAAGGGATTGGGCCCAATTGGAAATTAGGCCATATTTTGGGCCTTGATGGACTGTTTAACTTTTTGGCCTATTGGATTCTGGTTATGGGCTCCATTCTTGGACCAAGCTAGGTTTGGGGTAAAATGGTCTTTTTACCCTAAGTAGGATTTTTTGGTTTTGATGTAGATCCCAAATGTTAATTATTTTGTATTTGGCAATTGATAGCTCGGGGAACTGTAGGACCAACAGTCAGGGATCATTCGTTTCATTCAACTTTTCGAGGTGAGTTTCCTCATTGGATTTAGTAGGTCTAAGGCACCAAGGTCAACCCTCATTTGGTTATGTTATTATACTTGTTGTCTATGGATACTTGTATATGCTTATGTATGTACGTTTATTGGGTAGGACCCGTTATTCGAGTGTGGGCGGGGCCCAGATCTCATTATTATTTGAGTGTGGGTGGGGCCCATATCTTATTGGGAGGGGACCATTATTCGAGTGTGGGCAGAGATCTTATTTCACTGGGCGGGGCCCATTATGCGAGTTTGGGCGAGGCCCATATCTCATTTGGGTAGGGCCCATATATGATATGTATGATATGTGGTATTTTGGGGAACTCAGTAAACTTTGTGCTTATGGTTTTTAGTTTGTGTTTCAGGTACTTACGGTTCCAAGGGGAAGGGCTCAGGTATCGCACACACCATATTTATTCTATTTGTGGGGCATACTCTGATTTTGATGATGTTTGACATATTTAATCTATTGGGATGTATGAACAATGTTTTGGAATATTGTTTCTACTTAAATAAAAAAAAACTGGGTCACAATTTTTGGATGTTTCAAGTTGGTATCAGAGCCTTGGTTTGAGGGATTCATGCATACTCTCGGTGTGTCTAAACTCGAACTAAGGATTTGATAATGTTTTCAAAAAGAAACATAGTTTAAAGAAAATGTTTTCTAAAATAAGAAAGGGGTTGGTACATGCGATCAACCGAGCTCAAGTAAGTTTTACCAAAATACCCATAAATGTTTATGATATGTTTTGAATTATGAATCTATAAACCGCAGGCTAGATTAAGGATAAGGATGTAGGAGGATGCCTTTGTATATATGTTGTATGATCTTGTAGATTTGCATGTTAGTAATGATCAATCAGTAATAGGACGGTCTGAGTAGGTTATGCTTGGTTCTGATTACTTGATGCTCGAATGATGCTTGTTTTTTGCTTTTAGGAGTCTAACTAGCTACAACTAACTAGTAAACGAATATGCTAAATTACATATTATGGGAACTAAATAATTTTAGAGGGTTAGGTTTTAAATATATTGTGCAACTCTTGTTTGAGTCCAACTGTTGTAGTGTGAGACCTCTCATCCGAAGAATTATCTTGTTTTTGTAATATGTAATTGTATTCGTGGGATAGTCAGAGGAATTTAGCAGGACTTCCTTCGGCGGCTGATGGGGCAGAGTGGTGTGGAGTTTGCCCTAGGAAAACATAGGATGAGATTTAGTGATGGGAGCCTTATCTTTGAGGGAATTGTTGGATATAAAGTATCTTGGCTTAGTTAAGGCACTTCTTGAGGAAAGTACGAATAGTTGTGGAAGGTAGTATGGTCCCATACTACTAGAAGTAGAGGATCCGTACTCGATCCAATGAGGGCTGCGATGAAGCCAGGTGTCACACCCCCGAACCAGACGGCGGAAACGTCCGAGGGCTGTCGTGACTCAATTGAATACCATCACAATGAATATACTTGAAACATAACATTATACATCACCAACATTCAGAATGATACAACTGGTAGCGTTTACATCCATTACATTGTTCCCAGAATATTACATTCTCAAAAGTAACTGTTTGATACTAAATTAAACCACAGCAAAACGTCATAGAGTACAATTCATCCTTCACTTTATCTGTTACCTGAGAATACAAGTATTTTGAAAAACGTTAACATATGAAATATTGGTGAGTTCATAAGTAATGTTTGAAATCCAATGTTTGTAATGTTTTGAAAAACACCAGAAAATCCGATATTTTCTGAAAATAGTAAAGTCAAGAATGTGTGAAGATCCATAGGTATGCTTGTTTGTTTCTATACTTGTAAAAATTGTTCATTTAAAATTTGTGTGCATTCCGAATCCGTATGTATTGAAATACCCTAGGAAAACCCGATGTTTTCCTAATTCTTTGAATTACATGAACGTACATTGAAACAATTGCAACGTGTGAAGTTATCGGTACCAGGCGACGTTGGATTATTTTTGAGCATGATTATTTGCTACAAACACACGTTACACAAACGACTAGTCTATAGCAATACTAACGATCCCGTAGGCGTCGTCCGTACTAATCACGTTATCCAACCGCCCTGACTACGTGTAGTCCCACACCCGAAGAGAACGAGGACACGAAGGCCTCGGTAACTCCATTAGCCGGTTTGGGATAAAAGGTACGAGGGGTCCCAGACCCGCCTCGCATGAAAAGGTAGACTTTACTAGCAATACCAAAGGACCCTTGGGGACCAGTAGTATACAAGCCATTGAAAGTCCTTTTACGTTATGTCGGATCGGTAAAACCCAACACTTCGTAAGAGAGAGGTCTTCGGGCCTTAAGATCAGGTCATTGGGCTAGCTAGGCTCAACGAACAAGATTTTACACTTTTGGGGCCCAAAGGTGGTGCGTAGACGTCTGTGCACACTCGCATGTATAGTGACTTCCCAATCGTTATCGTAATGTCGTAATGTCATAGTGTCGTCGTGTTAGTAGTTTCGGATTTTTATTGGTTCGAGACCGAACCAATTCGTTTGACAACGACTTTTGGTGTTGTAATGTATTGTATTTCGTCGATAGTCGTGGTATCATCATTTGATCAAATTGCATGTATTGAACTAGTCTTGAGGATTTTTCTGTTTTCAGCCCCTCCTTATTTGTAAAAATTTACTTTTTCAACCCTTTATTTAAAAACTTTCCGGTTTGGTCCTTAAATCAATTTTCTTGACATTTTAATACCAAAAATTATTGAAATAAGTATTTTCCAGCATATTTTTCATAGAAAACAGCTTAAGTCCCTGAATTTCAGTTTTTCTCGGTTATAACCTTTCTTTTTCGAAAGTTTGACAATTTTGGCCCAAATTGTAAAATTTTTGCAACTTTGGTCCTTTTTAAATTTAAAAAGCATTTTTAACCTTTGAAAAGGACTTGGATCACTTATAGTCCACTGTTTTATAGAAAAACACAGTTTTGGCCCTCCAAAACAGAAAATTTCGCATAATGGGCCTCATTGGGCCGAAAATGTCATTTTTAGCCCATTAAGCTTGAAATTTATGTTTTTAATCCTCTAAATGAGTATATTTCCAGAAATTGTTTTATTGAAACTGTTTTGACATAGTTCAACCATCAGAATTCGTGATTTGTCAATTTAGGCCCTTAAAGTTTGTATTTTTCGCATTTTAAGTCCAAAAATGGTATTTTTAGCCCAAAGAAATTGTTACTAAACCATTTAGCCATTTTTCTAAAAATACTTTGTATGTAGAAATATATTTGATGCTAGAGTCTTTTAACATAAGGTATATCTCGGTTTTGAGGGGTTTTATGGCTA